CGACAAACAAGTGTAGTGAAATGACTCAACACTTACATAGTGCCTTGCTTGTGAGATAATGTCTCAAAACGCTTAACAGAGGTAGGTAGACAGCAAGGTATCAGCTGGAGCAGGAACCCTGGCTCATTTTTATTTCCCTCTCTAGCCCAGGGATGCCATCCCAAGCCAAGGATGCTATATTTTAGAAAGATTTCTGCCCTGAGTTCTTCAGAATATTGTCCGTGACTCACTTTGCTCAGTAATTCTGCCTCTCATTTTGCCAAGATTTACCTTCTAATCTTACTGGCCGGACCTGCTTTGTGTCCTTCAGATCAAAGGGAATGTTATCAGTAAACAAAAGACTTTGTGTGATCGGCCTTCTGCAACAAGCAGCTTTACTAACACTGCCCCTCCTCTGTGTCTATGTGTGTGTATGTGCATGTATGTGTGTGTCTGTATAAAAGACATCCCAACACCAGCCTCCAGCCAACAAGATCATTAACCAGAGGCACAGCTTGTAGTAGCTCTCTGCTACAGATTGGATCCCTCTTCAACTGGAGCCCATCTTTCACATGTGACACTTCAGACATACGTGATTATTACTTCCAACCATGTACCCCCCACCCCCCACCCCACCCCTCAGCCTGGTGCACATCCAGGTCAGGCAGGTGGCTAACACACTCTGAAACCCATCATCGTGCTTAAGAGTATCCAAAGAAGACAGAGAGTCACACCTTTGTACATCACCTACACATGGTTATTTCACTGTGTCTCTCCCTAGAGGCATGTATTTTGCTTACTTAATTCCAGAGAGTGCTAGGCACACTTGGCAAGTGCTAAGACTTGGGGATCCGGGAGTGTGCGCTGGGGTAACCGCTGGAGTTTAATCTGCTAAAACCACATTGGTTGCCATTCAGAGCACTGTGCGGCAAGCTTTCCTGCTGCTTGTCCAGCTAGGACTACCCTAACCGATAAGTTGCTTTGGTTTGCAAAGTTAATGGGAGCTGAGTGGGAAGAATCCCTACTCCCATTTTCTCAGCTCTTGGCTGCTCACTGCTTCAGATAGCGAGGCTCCCTCTTCACCTGGAGCCCAGTGCCTAGACTTTAACACAGACATATCAGCAGTCTTGACTGCCCCTCGCTCTCCCACACCATCCTCAACAACAACTTGCATGTATGCAGCATCCTTCACACATCTCGGAGCGCTGAGACATTACGCTGTGAGAATTCAATCGACTCCCTTAGCTCAGTCAGCAGCACCTCACCTTTGAGCCAGAAGGTTGTGGGTTCAAGCCACAGGTCAGTACTTTGAGCTCTAGCCCTAAGATGACAATCCAGTGCAGCGCTCAGGGTGGGGGAGGGGGTGTGAGCTCTGCCCTGTTGGATGTTTAGACTGAGAAGTGGACTCCATGCCTTCTAAGGTTGAAACATCTGGCTGGAACAGCACCGCCTAAACAACCCAAGGGCAAGGTTGAAGGCCAGATGTGCAAGTGACACAGATGCAAACTTTCCAAACAAACCGGCTGTACTAGTCTGGTTGCTAAGAGTTGAGGATTATTTTACAGCGGCTCACCACCGCAAAACATCTTAAAACGCCCGACAGTAAATAATAACAAGTGTTCACAGACAAATGTACAGGCAAATGTAGCAAGCATCCTGCTCACAGCAAGAACCCACAGAAGTCGACCACCACTTTGTACCTGGAGGAGTGTTGGCTGGGACACTCCCCTTCTCGAGAGTGTAAAATTCCAAAGGACTTCACCTCCGACAATGCAGAGCTCGCACCCCCTACACCCCCAGCACTGCACTGCGTGTCACCCTTGTGAGGTCAAAGTCCTGACCTTGGGCTTGAACCAACGAACTGAGCGTGCTACCAACTGAGCCAGGCTGAAGGATTATGCCGATTTGGGATACTCATTCGTAGCAGTTTATAGGCTGTACAGATCTAAGTTGATTACTGCAGCTGTGTGCGCACACACACACTCACATTCCCCCTCACACTGTGGCTCACACACACACTCACATTCCCCCTCACACTGTGGCTCACACACACACTCACATTCCCCCTCACACTGTGGCTCACACACACACTCACATTCCCCCTCTGTGGCTCACACACACACTCACATTCCCCCTCACACTGTGGCTCACACACACACTCACATTCCCCTCACACTGTGGCTCACACACACACTCACATTCCCCCTCACACTGTGGCTCACACACACACTCACATTCCCCCTCACACTGTGGCTCACACACACACTCACATTCCCCCTCTGTGGCTCACACACACACTCACATTCCCCCTCACACTGTGGCTCACACACACACTCACATTCCCCCTCACACTGTGGCTCACACACACACTCACATTCCCCCTCACACTGTGGCTCACACACACACTCACATTCCCCCTCACACTGTGGCTCACACACACACTCACATTCCCCCTCACACTGTGGCTCACACACACACTCACATTCCCCCTCACACTGTGGCTCACACACACACTCACATTCCCCCTCACACTGTGGCTCACACACACACTCACATTCCCCCTCTGTGGCTCACACACACACTCACATTCCCCTCACACTGTGGCTCACACACACACTCACATTCCCCTCACACTGTGGCGAGTCATCTATCTACAACATAGTTTGGTGTGGAGGAAAGCTTTCTCCACTCTTCCCCGGCAATTTGCCTTAAACCCTAAAACACACAGTCATAACAGCAACACAACAACAGTTGTCACTTTGTGTTTCAATCCGATTCAGTGGGTAGCACTCTCGCCTCGTTGAGAGAGAAGGTATGGGTTCAAGCCCCCTGTCAGGACATTGAACTCACATAGTCCAGGCTGACACCCCAATGCTGTGTGTGTGTGTGTGTGTGAGCGAGAGAGAGAACATACTGCATTGTAAGTTGTTTCAGCATTTGAAAAGAAAAGGGAATTTATCCCAGTGTCCAGACCAACAATTCCAGATAGAATTTGTCATTCACTTAAAGCGCTTTGCCTTTTCTCGTGCTTCAGGTGACACATTAAACAGAATTCCCATCTCCCTGTTCAGTTGGATGTTAAAGATCCCACAGGTCTGCTCGAAATGAGAAGAGAGTTCTCCCGGTATCCTGGCCAACAATCCTTCAAATAAAAATCTGGTTTGGAACCTCTTAAGCATGATGATGGATTTCCACATGTCAGACACCCAGCTGACTAAAAAAACACACAGACTCATTTCTCCAGCAGGAGCACTGTTAGATAGTGTTCCAGATTGGGAACCTTGGCTGCATTTTCTGTCCTCCTGAGTTTGAGAGACGCTAAAGCCAAATTGAAGTGCCTCATTTTCTGCTGCTGCTGGGATCAGCTAAAACTCTGGGTGAGGCTTGACAATTTGGGCTCATTTGAATAATGGTTAATTTCATGTTGAAATGTGTTGAATAATTTTATGCTGAATAATAATAATAATCCTTGCATTTGATATCGCACCTTATCACATCTTCATGATGTCTCAAAGTGCTTCACAGCAAAGTGTGCTAACTATGTATTTTGTGGGCGTAACACGGCAGCCAATTGTACACAGCAGTGGCCCACAGTCCGTGGATTGAGTGACCACATTTTTTTGGGATCCACCAATCGACTAACATCCAGGTTCCTACTGACTGCTAGGTAAACAGACGTGTGTGGAGTGAGGAAACTTGCTTAAGGTTCGCCCTGGCCAGGAATCAAAACCGGGTCCTCTCGCTTGTGAGGCGAATTCTCTAACCATCTCGCTACAGGACTTGACAATTTTGTGCCGAATAATGGCTAATTTCATGTTGAATCGTGTTGAATAATTTTATACTGAATCATGGACTATTTGGCGCTGTGGACCTGCACCTAAATGGGAACTGGGTTAATAATGATAATAATTAATATTATTGTTAACTGGGTTGATGTTGCCCTCAAAACCAAGAGGGAGGAGAAGGAACAACCTATCAACTCGGGCTGGCCTCAACACCTGGTCCCATTGGTGACAGGAGTGAGTGTTAAGCTCTAGTGCTACCCTGTTCCTTACACAACCTGAGGGAACTTGTCAGCCTGCCTCAATTGGTAGCACTTCCACCTCTAAGTCAGAGGGTTGTAGGATCAAGCCCCACATCAGAAGCTCATAGTATAGGCTAACATTCCACTATAGTGTGGGGCAGTGCTGTGTTGTTGTCCTTCAGGTGAGATGTTAAACCAAGGTCTGTGTCTGCCTGTTTAGGTGGAAGTTATTTAAAAAGAGTGGGAGCTTCTCCCAGTGTCCTGGCCGACAATCCCCCAAACTAATAAAGATGGTCTTTTTCTTCATGGCATTTGCAAAGAAAATTGCTGTGTGCAAATTGGCCGCAGTGTCTGCCTACACATACACAATACGTGAAGTGCTTGAAGACATTTTGACATGATAAGGCACAATAACATGATAAGAAATACAGGGATTACTATTATTAACTTTGCAGCATGAAAAATATGCATCTCTGACCTTTCATGGAAACCATTACGAAATCTAACCAAAAAAATCAGATAACAGAATTCGAGACCCAGAATTTCTTAACTGGATGCCTAATTTGTAATTCACAACTGTTTGAGGAACCTTCCTGTGCTCCAAAATGCACAGTCACTACACTACACTTCACACTACAATTAAGCTGTGAAGCGCTGAGAGACTTTTTGGCACTGTAGGTGGTATTATCACATGTAAATAGTATTTATTTTAATAATGTCAGCTTGTCTATCATAGTCTAGTTTGTGGGACCTTACTGGACACATTGGCTGCTGTGTTTGCTCAAAAATACAGTGACAACAACTTGTATTTATGTAGCAGGCTTCACCACGTGGTAGCATCTTGGAGCATTTACACAGCATTTTACAGTCTATTCTGTGAATGGCTTTGAGACGTCTAGAAAACGTGAAAAGCGCTATATCAAATGCAAGGATTACTATTATTATCATTATGTCCCAATGTCTCATCTTCTTACCCTGTTCTTCTCTCTGCAGGGCACTCAGCGGGAAGGGGAGGTGGGGGCCAGGAACAGACGTGAGCCCCCATGCATGTGACGTGTGGGAGCGGATGATGTCTGAGGCTGGAGGGGCCGGCAGCAGTCGGAGAGGCGGGGGCTCTGAAGGAATGATCACTCTGTGGCGCACACTCTGCATCTGCCTCGTGACCGTGACCAGCGTGCCAGCGGCCAGGCACCGCCTCGCAGCACCAGAAAGAAGAACGCCAGGTTGGTTTGCTTTTACTTCAGGGATCCAGGGGGTGCAGAGCTCATTCCTGTTTTTTTCTCCTCCTCATATATTACTCGTTTGTTACTGAGACCTTAAACTCACACAGTCTAGGCCGGGGTGGTCCAACATTTGGCTGCTGAGAGCTGGATGCAGGATTTGAGGAACGTCCGTGGGCCACATAAGCAATATTTTATCCTGATTGTCCAATCCATTGTCAGTCAGAACCTGAGCCCCCGGTGACCAGCTCTCGATTGGCTCGGCGCCTGCGTGTCACTGCATTTGCTTGTCGGAATGGTTCGCGGGCTGGATAAAATCATCCCCTGGGCCGGATGTGGCCCGCGGGCCGCCAGTTAGATGATTAGGCTGACACTCGAATGCAGTAGAGGGGAATGCTGCATTGTCGGAAGTGCCACCTTTCATTAAACTGAGGTCCCGTCTTCCTGTTCAGATGGACGTTTAAGATTGCATATTCCGAACTCAAAGAAGGAAATTTCTGCCAGTTTTCTCCAGGTGGATTGATGGTTGTTTGTGATTGCTGCTTTCTTTGACTACACTTGCCACACTTGACAGTCACTACACTTGACACCAATTACTTGTGAGGCACTTTGAGATGTTTGTACATGATAGGATTTGTGTCAAACGTGAGGATTATTATTATAAATGCTCCATCTATGAGTTGTTGTACTAAAATCCTCAACCCTCATGTTCAGATGCTCCATGGCCTCACCCTCATTACCTTTGTGACCTCCCGTAACCCCATCTCCCCGGTCTCTCCCTCTGCTCCATGTCCCCCGCTGGATCCACCCCACAATTTCAACCGTTCAACCGGCAAGGAAACAGGCCCCTCAAACCATCACATTTGTCACCCTCACTCCTGACTCCCTTCCATACACTTCTATTCCCTTCGCCCCAATGTAAGTGCCTGTTCTCTGGAACTCCATCCTGGAATCCCTCCACCTCGTCCCCTTCCTCCCTTCCTTTTAAAGCCAGTCTTCAGACCCATCTACTCAAATGTGATTTCACCTCACCTTTCCCCCCCCCATTCCCTCAGCTCCCCCCTTGGGCTCCCAATCAGCTGAGATGAATGGCTTTGACAGAATGGGAGAGGCACTATTTACATTTAAATTGGAATCCCGTAGCGTAGCGGCATGAAGTCCCATAGTTTATTGGCGAGCACACTTGCCTCGCAAGCGAGAGGACCCTGGTTCGATTCCTAGGCAGGGCAAAACTTTAAGCAAGTTTCCTTACTCCACACGCCTCTGTTTATCTCGCAGTAAGTAGGAACCTGGTTGTTAATCGATTGGCAGATCACCTTCCGGGGGTCACCACTCCCCCACCCAAAAAAAATTGCTCACTCAATCCACGACTGTTGCTGAGAGTCTGCTGTGCACAACTGGCTGCTGTGTTTCGCCCACAAAATACAGTCAATCCACTTGATAATATATTCTGTGAAGCGCTTTGAGACGTCTCAATGATGTGATAAGGCGCTATATCAAATGCAAGGATTATTATTATTAATTGCAGTTGTTTTTGCCTCTAGCCTTTTGTCCCTTACTCACAGTTTGGGCGGCCATTGGCAACATTAAAGAATTCACACTTAATAACTTGGCGAATAATAACCGATCTGTTGAAAATCAACTACAGCAGCCCTCAGTTGCAAATGTTGAGGTGAACTAATTTCTGACTTGCAGTTGTACGTCTGCCAAGTCGAGCCCTGGCACTGATAAACAGCTCCCCCAGACCTGAACACAATACTAGCATTGCATTGCCATCTCAATGCTCATTTTGTATGTTATAAACATACGGGTGAGGGATTTTTTTATATAAGCAAGGATGCTCAAAAAGCACAGAACGTTGACATAAAACATCTCGCTTGTACAGTACGCCATGTGGTTTCAGTCATGACATTTAGAGGGGAAATCACAGTGTTAGATGATTTGTTCCTTTCATTTCTCCCCCCCACCCCACCCCCGACACACACACTCTTATACAGACCACACTACATGAGGTCCAATATTCAGCTGTGTTTATTTTCTGAAGTCATTCGATAGAAGGCAGTTTCTCCTCCTAACGCCCCACCCCCTCTCTCCCTCTCTCGATCACCTCCCAGATTCCCAAAGGAGACAAATTAAAAAAAAACTCTTTTAAATTGTAAAAGAATAGCCAAACGTTTGATTTCTTTGTGTGCAGAAGGAAGACGTGAGTGAAAATGCGTTGCCACGTGGAAAGTTAAGAGTAAAGGTATCACCTTTCGCCCTCCGTTTCCCCCCCCCACCTTTTTTTTGTTTAACGCAATAAATCACTGCACGCGGCTGGTTTTGTCAGCAAGCAAGCTGTAATAAAACACATATTCCAAATGTAACTCACTCAGCTCATTTTTCACAGCCGAGGGAGCTGATTTACGGTGCACCCGGTGAGCTGCTGATGAACTTGACGACGCTGGTAATAAAGTGGCTGCTGATTAAGTCTGGAGCCTGCCTCGCTCCCTCCACCCCCCACCCCACCTCCCTCACATCGCTGAGTCTTGCTCCTCACTGCATTGACTGTGCTGCTCACAGACTGTGACTGAGGTTTCTAATGCCTTGGATGGAGTTCCTCTCCAGGGACCCCTCCCCAAAGTGCATTGCAGACCGTAAGACGCGAGCAGCTACTGAGTGAATGCAGCTTTGTACCTAGATATGGGCTCCTCTATAAAATCCTGGCATTTAGCTTAGCCTAGAGACTTATTATAATAATCCTTGCATTTGATATAGTGCCATATCATGTTGTTGAAACGTCTCAAAGCGCTTCACAGGATATATTGTAAAGTGGATTGACTGTATATTTTGTGGGTGAAAATCAGCAGCCAATTGCACGCAGCAGTGTCCCACAAACAGTCATCGATTGAGTGACCACATTTTGCTTTTGTGAGGGTCTATTACCCCTGGAAACTGATCCGCCAATCGACTAACAACTGAGTTCCTACTTACTGTAGGAACTCGTTTGAGAGGCGAGTGCGCTAACCACTATGCTACAGGACTTGAATTACACATTGCAAAAGATCCATGTCAACAAACTTGGGTCAAATGGAGAATGGGGTTGGGGAAGGGGAATTTACTGTACAGATATCAAAGTCTCCACAGGGACGTGGCCTTTATTTAGGCTGGAAGACAGGAGTTGCTGGTTTGGCCCAAATAGAGTCCAAGACACAAGGGGCCTCATCTGGGCTAAATTTCCCCTCCGCTTGTTGGATTAAGTTTTTTTTATATGTGAATGACTGAATAGAAAGTCTTTAGTTAGAGGCACCACCGAGTGCTAAACATGTGTGTATGGTGGGGTAGAGATCACCAAAGTCTTAACTCTTTCAGGCCGTGAGTGTTTGAACAGCTGAGATGGTGATTCACTTTGTTTCTCAGCCTTTGTAATTTGTCTTTGGCTGTGCATTCTGTGTACTAACTCTTAACTCTCCATCCCCCACACGACCCCCCCAAACACATCACCGTTACTTAAGACTTTCGACAAAGTAAGTTTTATTCTTCAACAATTGGATTGAGAGGGAATACAGGGGGCTTTAAGATTAGGAAAGGATTGGCTAAGATCGATGTTAATAGGTTCATAGAGAAACTGAAGATTTCAATTTGAATGCTTATTGCTTCCTCTAGCTAGTTGTCCAGCGGGCATCTCCTGAGTGACTGAGATAGCTGAATACATTCACCTTGTTTGATTTAAGACTGAAACCTCAAGAGTAGAATGAGTATTAAATGCAACTCACTTTTAAATTATTTCTGTGCGTTGTTCAGTGACTCAGAATTACACTTGTATAGTGCCTTTCACGTTGGGAGGTTGACCCAAGGCTGGATCATCACATTGCTAGGGACAGCGAACTGGGAAAAAACACACGAGTGTGTGCACAAACACAAGCACTTACACGCACTTACATCTACAAATACACGCATGCACACTCACACTCAAACACTCAAATTTGTGCACAGGCATGTGTGCACAAATATACATGTGCTTGCACAAACACAAGTGCACACTCACATGAATGCATACATCTGAAACCTATATGCTTGACTGTGCTATCACTAGCTGTGGGGATACAGAGATTATAGTGTATGGGAGGTACAGAGACATTAACAACAACAGTCTCCAGTTGTGGGGGTACACAGGGACTCAGCTGTGTGTGTGTGTGTTGGGGGGGTGGGGGTGGAGGTTGCAGGGACTCCAGTCTTTACAATGAATAATTCCACATGAGATTTTCAGTGAGGGCTGTTCCTGGAACATGAAGTGTGCAGGGTTGTATTGAATTGTTCTAAAGTTAGCAACAAATCAGGAATTGCTAAATGTGCTTACTCCTGAGCATTTACTTAGTGTTCCAAACACGAGTACACTCACTGTGGCTTATATCCTAAATTATGGCCTTTGTTCACGAAGCCTTAGCTGCTCCGCTCAGCTATAATTTTCTGCCCTGATCCGTTTGTGAAAGTACGGAAGTGAGTAACTGTATTTGATTAAACAACAATAATAAATTACATTTATATTGCGCCTTTCACATCGGAAGGACTTCCCAAGGCATTGGAAGGAGGAGAAATTTTCTGAGGAGAAAGCACACAATAGGAATTAATGGGACTTTCTAACCATGTGCTTACCACTGTTAGATTGTGTTCAAGTACACACATATATATTGGCTATTCAGAATACACAATACTCTACACCGTCACACCACTTTCAGTATATCCTATGAAGCGCTTTAAAAAGTTTTGATGATGTGATAGGGGCTATATTAAATGCAAGGATTATTATTTATATCCATTATTTATAACAACAGTTTGGATTTGTATAGCACCCTTCAGGTCAGTAAAATCTCGGAGTGCTTATAAATACACACACACTCAACACCAATACACATATCCACTATCTATAATACAAAACACATATCTACTAGTTATAATATACAAATACATATCTACTAATAGCAAGAACAAATTATATTTATATAGCACATTTCACTTTGGAA